TTTAGAAGCCAAAACTTGTATATATTTGTAATTTGTACTTGTAAAAAGGGCTTACACAGTGGTGGTTCCAGAAACCGGGGTCTGCCGGTGGCGGAGGGCCCCAAATTGGCTGTGGTGGCGGTGGTGGGGACGTTGTGTGTGGCGCTAGATGTTTTGGCCATAAGTGCATTAAAGATCGATCCATGGTGGGATGACCCCATACATGCAAAGGCCTAAAATGGTGGTTTTGGTGGTGCATGGGCGGAAAACCCATCGTAGGTGGAAGGTAAAGGTTCACATCTCGCTTGGCTCCTTCACTCGCCGGCGTAGCTCCGCCGTAGACTTGCCTCCTGTGGATCCAACTTGCGGCCTCCGCCTCACGAGCTAGTAAATGCTTCCGATGAGATCTATATTTCTGAAAAATTTAACAATGAATTCTTAAAAATTTGATCAATGAAAATGCATGAAAAGAAAAACAAAATTTGACAAATTTACTTGGAGATGGCTGGCAATGTTATGGCGAGTGAGACAGTCGATCCCCATAATCTCTAAAATTCTCGAAGGCACCGCCTTATTGACCCCGAGCTGCTCCACCGCTTGCACGAATCTCCGGTGAAGCTCCGGCGTCCAGTCCACCTTCAAACAATTAAAGAGACAATTAGTCCATGAAATATGTATTTTCTCATACATCAAAACGAATCCGATTTAGTTTGACTCTAAATTTAATTAAAATTTAAATGACAATTCTACATGGAAATAAAAAATCTAAGTTGAAGTATCATTTACCTTCACTTTTCGAGTGCCTTGATTGTTGTCGTTATTCTTTGCTTCCGATGATGATTTTTTGGAAGGTGCTTTAACTACTTTAGGGTTCTCTCTTTTGTTAATATTCTCGTTGTTATTCTCCTTGTTCGAACTCGAAACTTTATTTTCTTCTTCTTTCTTTCGGTTACCGTCTTCAGCAGTTTTTCTTACCATGTTCATCTCCGGTTCCTCGCCGCTGCTACCGGCAGGGAATTCGGTAAGCACTTCGGGGTCCATCTCCAAGTCTGGCAACACGTCGCCTTCGACGTCGATGCCGATAAAAAGATCTTCAAAATCGATACTGTCGAGTAAGTTCCCGTCGGCGAAATCCGGCAACTCGTCGGAACTGATAGTAAAACTCGCCATCTCTCCTTTGCTCTCATCTTTGCTTGTGTTCCTCAAAGGCGACACAGCCGGCATTAATTCAATGTTTTCTCTTCCCGGCTGGAAAGACTGAACAAAAAACTGCAAATGAAAGAAAATATCAAACCCAGAATATTTATATTTTATTGCATGAAAACTGGTGTAGACTATGAGGTTAAGTCAATCAAAGTGTCAGAAAAATGGGATTTTTTTAAAAATTCTTTCCGGTTAGCTGTTGAACGGAGATGGAGAGAAGAAGGAAGTCGATAAATTTCATAGGTTGGTGTGGGGCTTATTGGCTGTTTGTTTACCGTGAAAATCAGGAAAATGAATGAGGAAAAGATGAGATATACACCACAAGTTGGAGTGAGATCTCTTTGAATTTGTTTGTTTTTTATATATTGTTTTTGTTCTTATGTGGAATATTTGCTTTAACGCTTCCAATTACTCATTTTCTATCATTGGTTTTATTATATTATAATATATATATATATATGGATAGAAATTAGTTAGTTTTATTAAAAATAAAATAATATCTAATATTATAATAAAGATTTACAAACATAATCGTACAATTAAACTAAATTATAATTAGGATATTTTCTTGTAATCATTGACACAAGAAACAAAGAAAGAAAATATTAAAAATCTAACTAAAATACTCGAACAAAATAAAGATACGAACAAATCTAACTGTATTGACAAACGAACCACAAAAGAGAATGAAGTTATTGATAGACCACCGACAAATCATAAATAAGAGTCAAGCTTCGTGAGAAAACTATCCATTAACGCAAAACACATATCCAAATATATCTGAAGGCCCAAAGCAAGGAAAATCAACATGATAATAAATAAGTATTATCTTTATCAGTCATGGTGATGTCAAATCTAACCTGCGAAAATAGATAAATGAAAATAACATCTAAACGATCGAAAACTACCAAAAGACAGAGAAAAACGTGCCATAAAAACATATATAAATGTATTATAAAGACAAAATTATTCTTATAAAAAAACTAAAAAATAAAGTGAAAAGACAATCGACGGTCAATAATCAGTACCAAAATTAGTACCACTACTAACTAAATAAAATTAAAAAGATAAATTGATTTGATTTTTAAAATATAACACAATTTGTAAAGATACAAAAAGAAGAGGAGTAAGAGAGAGAACGGCTAGGGTTTATCACTTCAGATTATTTAGTAAACAGACATAAGGCCTTGTTATATTATATTTTAAAGATATTACTCTTAAAATTATAATTATGATCAATAAAATTTGAATAATTATAATAATTCTCAAATCTATTGTTTGTCGTTATGTCAATATTTGATGATTAATTGTGATCTTCGATGATTTCATTATTTAATTAAATTGTATTTATATTTTAAAAATAAACAATCAAAATATTATTGAAAAAATAAATTGAAGGGGTAAAAGTGGATTACTCTTCCATTGAGATTAAAAAAATGGGATGCAATTGGTCATTGTTTTTTTAATAAAAAAACATGGGTCAATTATATTAAGATTATTTTAAAGTAGTGTCTATTTTAAATATCGTCAATCATTTCATGATTAGCGTTCAATTGGTCTTGTTATAGTTGTTGGTGTTTAAATTCGTGACTTCAAAGAATAACAATTATTTTTTAATCACTGAGATACTCGTATTAATATTTTTAATTAAATTAATGCGACTTAATTCGATAATATATAATATATTTTGGTAATTCAAAATATCTAAGGGTTGGTCTTTGGTCAGTCGCTTTTCTTCTATAAAATAGCGAAGAAAAGTACAATTATAATTTAGCTTCATAAATCTCCAAGAAAAAAAGTTGTATATAATAATGGAAATGAAATATTAAATTAGCATTCGTGTTAAAAATTATAATTTAGTTTATTTTTAAAAAATATTACATTATTCGTTTGATAAATAATTAAATTTAAGAGAAAAGCACATTTATATGTTTTCTAAGATTTTTATTCGTGCACTTATAAATAATGTTTTTTTTTGTTACAAAAAAATAAGGTAAGGGGTGAGTCTCGGGCAAGGACATACCTAAGACTCAATTGAGATTTACATGAAAATTTATAGATTATCCGTCAAGAATGAAGGTAGTAGAATTAAATCTCAATCACTTATACCGACCCTTGTTAGCATCGAAACTTATAAATAATGTTTGTATGGGCATATATTTACATATATTATTTATATGAATAGAACATTGAATATGACGATTATGTTATTAATTTTTTTAATATTTACATATTAATTTTTCAATTTATGATTTATATTTGTGATTGTCTCAAAATGTAGTATTTTCAATATTTATATATAAATTTTTTAATTAAAGATATGATATACCTTATTAATATATCTAATAATTATTAAAAAAATTGTAGTTATAGAAAATTACAGGAACGGATAAAACTATTTTAATTTTACATAAATGTAAATAGGGTAAAGTATATAAATATTTCCTAAACTTTTAGTGTACTTATATTTTGGTCACTTAACTTTTGAAACATGCAATACAATCATTGAACTTTTAGTTCGTTTTTAGTAAGGCCCCTGCCGTTACTTCCCGTTAGTTTTTACTGACGTGGTACTTAACTCCCATTAAACCCCCTTCTTCTTCTTCCCTCATTCCAATTCATCCCACCTCCGGTCAGCGGTGACTCACACTGCCATCACCATCGTCACACCCCGACCACACCCTGACCCTCAATTCACATTCATCGTCCACCATTCGTCCCAAATCGCGAGAATACCCCAACACATCTTTTTTGTGTTTAGCCAACGACGGACAGAGAAGGGACGACGAGGAGGAGGCACGACCGATTGGGTTTTGATTGAAACGATGTGATGACTTTAACGTTGGTAGCAATGTGGCAAGTGGACGACCCAATCGGTCGAAAAATGATTAAAAAAGGGGTTGGAGCTTTTCGAATGAGATTCGAGGCCCTCTCTAAGGTGAACGGAGGTGAGTCTTAACAAGTGACTAGTGGGTTTTAGTCGGAATGGGGCGACACTCCTACTGGTACCGGTAGTGACGATCACCGATGACTGAAGACGGAGATCAGGGATGGGTGTTCAAATAATATTCTCGTGATTTGGGACGAACGATAGACAGTGAGTATGAATCGAGGGTCAGGGTGTGGTCAAGAGGCAACACCGATGACGATGGTGGTGATAGCGTGAGCCACCGTTAACCGGAGGTGGGGTGAATAGGAATGAGAGAAAAAGAAGAAGGAAAGGGTTTAATGGGAGTTAAGTGCCATGTCAGCAAAAAACTAACGAGAGATAACGACGGTGCCCTTACTGAAAACGAACTTAAAGTTCGATGATTGTATTACAAGTTTCAAAAGTTAGGTGATCAAAATGTAAGCACCCTAAAAGTTTAGGGACTATTTGTATACTTTACCCATGTAAATAAACGGCTCAAAATATAAAATCGTGTGAAAATAACGACCACAAATTAAAGATATTCTACAAATTGGTTGAGACGTGTACCTCCTTTTCTAGTGTTTTGTCCCTGTCGTTTTGTCGTATTGCTGACTGTCGTTTCGGCTTGCAGTCGGTGTGCTTTCTTTTTCTTAAAACAGTAACCATAAGAATTAAAAATTATTTCTATAGGAGAAATAATTTATTAGAAAAAGTACATTTTCATCACTAATATTTATAAATAATAGTATCATATCATTATCACATGTTGAAATTATTTATTAAAGAAATTATAATATTGTGAAAATGAAAAGGATCACAGTTGGGCTTCTGATTGGAGGAGATGAAGAAAAAATGAGGGAAAGTTAAGGACTTGGGAAGGATGAGCTTGGAAAAATAAGAAAAATGGTGAGTTGAAGAAGAAAACGAAGATAAGATAAAGGACACTCAAAATGGTCTCACGTGATAAAATCACATAATAGGGTATGGGAGACTGAGAATAACAAAATCCCAGAAATTTACAGTGAGATATTCATATGCTGGGTCATCAATTGTTGTTATATTCTTCAATTCTGATTTCTCCAGCTGCTCTTGGGATTGGGTTTCTGTCTGGAGATTAGTAGAGTTGGATCATCTCCTTGTTTAATCTCATTGGAACAATGGGTCATGGCTGAGAGCTGAGATTCTTCATTTTCTGCAACAATGGTTGATGCAGAGTTTGTGCTTTAAAAGACCGAGCTTTGACTGTTCATGCTACAACCCATCTGCAAGAGTAATTCGTCCAGAAAAAAAAAAGGTTAAGAGAGGTCAGTACCTAAAATGTTAGAATGTGTCGTTCTTCATGATAGAAAGCTATTATCATCTTGTTCAGGAGGATAATATGTATTCATAAATAAAAAAAACTATGAAATTGAGCAATGTCTAAAATGGTTTCACACCTGTGATTTAAGTGTGGAGAAATCAAAACCAAATTTTGCAGCTTTACCATCAATCTACTTTTTTCGGAATGAGATGTTCATCATCAATTCGAACGCAAGTTATGTGGGAAATCTTGGACCATTCTGGTCCTTTAACTCTCCTGCACTCTTCTTTTAACAGTGGACATCTCTCAATATATAACCGCCCAAGCGAGAGAAGCATGTGTTTCTCCGGAAGAGATGTGAGCTTTGGACAATCTGTGATCTCCAATTCTTCGAGAGAGGTGAGGTGTTGAAAGCCCTTGGTGCACATGAATTCCAGATTATCGAAATTCGAAATCCGGATAGAGGTGAGCGAAGGAGGCAGCCTCATCCCTATACTTTCTTCTGGAAAGGACAGCACATTTGAGCATTCTTCACCACTTATTACGAGTCGCTGAAGAGAGGTAAGTCTATGGATTCCCCATTCAACAAGTGAGCTATAGATTTCGGGTGCATTAAAGATTCGGAGTGATGTCAGGTTGGTAGGGAAACCCTCTTCTGAAAAGGATCTGTCAGCCCCACAGTGGGACACCATTAGCTCCTTAAGGGAGGTGCAGTTGCTGATGCACTTTGGAAGGGCTACAATGTTTTCACATTTGAAAACTGTGAAATCTATGAGATTTGTGGTAGGCAAACCAATTTCGTCGAAACAAGCCACCAGATTTGAACAATCAAACAAAGAAATCTCCTGGAGATGACTGAGCTTGTCTATTCCTCGCGGTAAAGATTTAATATTTCCAACATCATCCATATGAATCCTTTCGAGATCAGTGGTTTCATGGAAATCTTCGGCTATGCATTCCAGCACCGGACACTGAAAAATATGCAGCTTCTTAAGCATTACGGGTAACTTGGAATTTAAAAATAAGCTTCTCAACTCTGGGCAGCAGAGAACATGGAGAAGTTGAAGCCGATTGCATATATCACCCCTTGATGATAACCATTTTAGAGACTGGCAGCAATCAACGTTCAAGACCTCAAGAAGATAAGTATTACTACTCATACTCTCATCTAACAAGTATTGCAAATTCTCACAACCCTGAACCGTAAGCTCTTTTAGAGCAGGGGGGAAGTTACTCTCTGTAAAAGAAACCAAACCTTCACAGTTTACTAGTTCCATTCTTGTAAGGAATGTGAAAGCATGCGACATTTTTGGTAGTAAACTGAAATCACGAGTTACAAAATGTTTGGAGTTTGCAAACCTCAACATTCTCCTCTCAGCTGCAATACTAAACTTTGAAATTCTTGAAAGAGTCACGCTTTGCAAAGAGGTGACCTCCTCGCCTGGTGAAGAAGATGAGCATTCATCCACCAATTCTTCACACCCTTCCACGCTTAATTCACGCAGTGATGGATAACTTGAAATTGAAACTACTAACCTCATGCACTCGTAGATTTCAAGTTTCTGCAAGGACAGAAGACGGGTTGGCAACCTTCCCAACAATCGAGGACAATGTCTTATCGAAAGCTTACGAAGCATGGGTAACTTTGAAACTTGTTCGTCACCTTCACAAGCATCCCACTCCTCCCAGTTTGGTAGACTCTCGAAAGACAAACTCTCTAAAGATGCAAATGCAACTGACTGATTTTCCCCAAACAACTCATTACCAATCTTGCGCACCTCAACCAACTCACCAATTGAAAGACTTTTCAACGATGACAACCTTCCAATCGGTGGTAGCGATTTGCAGTTTTTACAACTGCGTAGCTTCAAAGATGACAAATTACTCAAAGAAGAATCTGTTATCCAAGTAGAGAACTTTGCACCACCGAAATTCTTGATGAAGAGTTGCTCAAGCTTTTTGGGAGGATGAAGAGAGTCCAACACACGTTCTTCAACTTCATTCTTCCTTGTAGGCTTCTCAAAGTCTCCACTCCATTCTAGTACCAAATTATTGATCCCCGATTTCTCATTCAACCTGGCTTCCCATGCATCTCGACCATTAACATTCTCTAACCCTGAAAGACAAAGATCACCTTTGAGGTTTGATAAATTCTTCAATTCTCCAATGCTATGTCCATCACCTTCACCAATAACAAAATCAGATAACCTTTGAAGATTGGTTAGATTTCCAATTCCAAAAGGCATCCTTTCTATCAAGTCCGCACCTCTAATATCGAGATAATGTAAATTAACAAGATTTTCCATCTTCGAGGGTAATTTTTGAAGTTTGGAACATCGTTTCAACAATAAAGTTTCCAAATGATAAAGAGTGCATAAGGAATCAGGTAAACATCTGATTTGAGTATGGGAAAGATTGAAGTAGCGTAGATGTTTCAAAATTTCCAAACAATCAGGCAACTCAGTGATCCGATATCCACACAAAGAAAGCACCCTCAAATAGCCAAGTCTCGGCAATAATTCAACCAAGACAACATTCGTCAAGTAATAAGGATGCCAACAATCTTGCTTTAACGGAAGAAAGGTACGCAAAGAATTTGCTTGATTAAATGCTTTAAACTTCTTCACCGTGTCATACGTGCTGATGATATAAGAAGAATGGCGACAACGACGTGAAAACATTTGTTGCTTATTTTCCTCCAGTCTGCAACATATATCTCCTGCAACTAATTGAGCTAAATCATTGATAAGGTCATGCATTACATATTGTGATTCATCTTTGCTAGATATCTGAAAAAATGACCTTGACACTAGATCTTGAAAATATTGATTTCCCAGATCTTTAAATTGATGTTTAGCTTTTTGTTGCAAGAAACCTTCTGCACTCCATAACAAAATTATCTCTTCTTCTTCGAATTCGTAATCTTTAGGAAATATGGAACAGTATGCAAAGCAACATTTCAAATGAGAAGGAAGATGATGGTAGCTTAATCGCAATGCTGGAATTATACCACATTTATCTTCAGGGGAGTCCCATATCTCACTCTCATATATTTTTTCCCACTCATCAAGATTCTTGCAGGTTGTACGTAAGAGGCTTCCAATGGCTTTTGCTGCTAAAGGTAAACCGTTGCACCTTCTCGCTATGTTCTCTCCAACTTGTTTGAATTGGAGATGGCCATCGAAATTTCTTGCTCTTAATGCGTGCTGACAAAATATTGACAAACAGTCCTCATCTGATAGTTTATCCAAGTGAAAAGCTTTCATTGGATCCACAGTTGATGAAACATTTTGAAGGCGAGTAGTTACAATGATCTTGGTTGTTGCTCCGAAGGGAGACCGTAAGATGGTCCAATCATCGTAACTCTCGTTCCAAAGGTCATCCAAAACAAGTAAGACTTTTTTTCCAGATAACTTCTCCTTCAACTTGACTTGAAGTAGATTCAAGTCATTCACATCATGTGAGGAAGGATCGATGGATTGTAAAATAGTTTTGGTTATTTTAACAGCATCAAAGTCATCGGAAACACATACCCACGCCTTGTAATCAAAAGACTCCTCGATGCTGGCATCATTGTAGACAAGCTGAGCAAGAGTTGTTTTCCCCATCCCTCCCATGCCAACAATGGAAAGGACTGAAACTCCATTGGAGCTATTAGTTTTGAGCAAATCAAGCATTTCTCGTTTTTCGTTGTCTCTGCCGACACACTCTCCATCCATCAGGGAAGTAGGTTGAAGCCTGGCCGGTTTCTTTCGATCGGAGCTTGCAGCTCGAGGCAACATCTCACTCAACCCCAAACTACTTCTTTGTGTAGACAGACTGTTGAGTCTATCAGTGAGGCCTTTCATCTTGGGAATCATGTCATTTTTAAATAGAAATGAAGATGGAGTGAAATCAGTACCGGTACAGCAGGTAGGAAGGAGTTTCCGTACCATACTAGTGCTGGCCTGAGCCTGAGTTTTGTGGAGCTTGAGACGTAACTGTTCATAGGCAAAGTCGTCCAGGATGTCATCAGCATCGTAAGTCAAATCTTGGAGATCTTCCAACCAGCTCTTCACACCCTTGTCCTGGACCTGTTTCTCCTCTGCGTGGTTCAACACTGCTTTGATACCGGGCAATATGGCTTTCCACTCCTTGAGCTGGTCGTACACTTGCTTGTGATCAGCAACAAAGTTGAGAGCAGCATCGATGGACTTGCCGAGCAACAGCTCCAAAAGTTTAGAAAGAGCAGCCTCTCCGATGAAAGCCATGGTGGGATTACGAGAAAGAAGCAAAAGGGAAATTCAGAGTAAAAGGAAGAAAACAGAGGAATGGAGATGAAAGTTGAAGAACGTTAAGCAATGTAATAATGGAGATGGAGTCCAAGTGGTAGGAAAGGTCGAGGAAAGTGGGCAAGAGGTCCCAGTCCTTCGAATTATTGCACCCTCTCACTTTTTATCTGCCTTCAGATTTCGTGAAATAAATAATTTATTTTGTGTTATGTAATGGTTTTTTTTTTGGAAATTTGTTTTTCTTCATTTTTAAATATAATTATCGATAATCGATCTATTAAAATTAACCCTGTAGACGTATGTTTTTGTTCGAGTCTATAAAAATGTTATTATTTATATTAAATTATTTATTATTATTATTATTACTAATTATATTAATATTACATTTTTTTATTTACATGCCTTTAACCCATCAGCCCAAATTACAACCGAAGCCCATTACAACACCAAGTCCAAAGGAGATACAAACTCAGCAGCCCACCAACAGTGATCCAACCCAGCAAACTTGGATCCAGACTTAACCCGACCCAGGATATGAACCCGATCTAGATTCGACGCAGCACCCGGAGTAGACCCGAACCGGCCCAGTGTAAACTAGGGTTTTTAAAACCCTAAACCAAAACCAGTCACAATCGACTCTTCAACTCCCCTAGCACGTGAGCTTCACCGCTCCTCTCCCCGTGCGCGTGAGCCGACCACTGAGCCCCTGAGCCACAACCAAGTGTTTCCCGACTGATATTGTCATCCATAGTGACCGAAAACGCATCCATCAATCACAAAAACAACTCACAATCAGAGCAAGTACAAAAGCAATCTGGAAAAAAAATCTTATCCTATCTCCTCGACAATGGATCCATCAGACATGCATCAATAAAAGAGAAGAGAAAGAGAAATCAAAGGGGGGTCATTCGGTGAAAGAGAAAAAAAGGAGGGAGAGAATCGAAACGAGAAAGAAAAAAGAAAGGAGAAGAAAATCAAAGGAAAACATAGAGAGCCAAACCCAAAACAACACAATTGAGAGAGAGAGAGAGAAAGAGAGAGGAGTAAACTTACCGAACACTGTGCTTGTCGAAGGTTCGAAGTAAGTACACCGAAAGGTCACCGTTTTTCGATTCTGCCGAGAGGTAAACCTATAGATCTAGAGGGTTCGAGTTATTTTTAGGCTAAAAGAGGGTGGCTTTTGGGTAGACGATGAGATGAGGAACATTTTAGAGCCTTTTGGCTTTCTTCGGCCTTCGTGCGCCGCCGTGGACCACCTCGAGTCCCTTCGGCGGCAAGCGGCTCATTCTCTCTCGGCGTTGTGGAGTTGAGAGTGCTTGGGAGACTCTCTCTCCCATTTATGAAGCAAAAGGAAAAATGAAGGGAGTTGGGGAGAAAGGGCCTCGATTTGGGTTTAATTACCCAAACCAAAACGACGTCGTTTTGGCCTCTCCTTCTCCGTGTTTTTTAGGCTTGGGGATAATAACCCTTTTGGTCCCTCTGATTTTGTAATCTTATTTTTTCAGATGTTTAATAAAGTTCAATTTATTTGACTTTGAGCATTTATATTTCAACATTTACATTTTAGTCCTGTTCTTACTTATGTTATTATTTATGTTAATATTTGACTGTGGGCACAATATTTGTAATTATTTCAATTTAGTCATTGATTTAGTGTGGTATGTATTATTGCTAATATTTGAGTTTGGTTATGACATTTGCAAACATTTCATTTTAGTCATTGTTTTAGTTTTTTGTGTATTTTTCTTTGATATTCGAATTTGGCTATGATATTTGTAAATATTCTATTTAGTCATTGTTTGACATGTGGTTTAATTGTGGTCTGGTCCTTTATGTTTCTGCTTATTTCATTTCAGTACTTGGTATTATTTTATGGATTATTTACATTTCTGATGCATGTATTATTTAATATTTATGATTTGGGATCATGTTTATTTGTAATTACTATTTTAGTCCTTTTAGATTCTATTTTTTACTATTTAGTCCCTTAAGTTTCTATTTTTTCTATTTTAGTCCTTTAACTTTCTGTCTTAGCTACTTTAGTCCTTTAAGTTTTTGTTTTCTCCATTTTGACTCTTGTAATTTCAAATACTTACTTTTTGTTCATTTGTATTTTGGTTTGTAATATTTATTTGTTTTCATTTCATTCCCTTATGTTTGTACATGTTTCCCATATTATGTATTATTATGTATAACATTTAATAAATGTTATTAGTTTTATGTTGTAAATATTTCAGTTTTCATTTATTATTGTGTTTGTTTTACCTTATTTCCTTATTTAGTGATATATTATTTGAATAATTTCGAGAATGGTATTTGTAGAATGGGCGTGGAAAGTATCACTTGATCGAAGTGGTACAATCCAAGATGACATTCAAATCAAATACGAACTTGAAATAAATTAATTGTATTTTGCTAATTATTAATTCATTTCATTTTAAGTCGAACATTGCAATGAATGTCTCTAAATAATAATTTATTTCATTTCATGCAAATTGTCGATCTTCATTCTACATTTTATATTCGATTCATTTTTTTGTTTACCAATTTATTTTGTTGTAGGTAAACATCAATTTTTTTATATATATTCGATTCACATATTTATCGATGAGGGAATATTTTTTACGGATAAGAAATAGATGAAATAGCTTTCCATATGGAGGATTGCTAATCTCGAAGTTTCTTTTCAAGTTAAATGATTTTCCCAAATTAAATAATTTGAGGCAAATTAATTGAATCTCAATAAACGGATCATAGGTTAACTTAATACTAGATTCATCATTTCCACCATTTACGACGATGTGTAAGCGACACAATACTAATTTTGGGCGTTGTGGGGTGCTAATTCTTCCCCACACGTAACTGACACCCGAATCCGTTTTAATCAAATATTTGTAAACGCATACCAACTTTTTGTCATTAAAAACAATTTTTCTTAAAATTGTTTTTAAAATACGTTTATAGGTATTCAACCTACCTAACCCAAAGGTCAATGACGACTATATCCAATTTATTCAAATTAACCCAAAATCACAAATTTTCCCAAATTAAAGTCATTATCGTTTTTTAAAACAATATTTAATTGATTTTTCAAAAAATGGTTATGAAAAATCCGAATTTAGATATTTTTGAAATTTATTATAAAGAAGCTCGGTCATGTAGATATCTATTTTTATCTAAGTCTACAAAAAGATTATTATTTATATTAAATTATTATATACTATTATTATTATTATTACATTTTTTACATGCCTTCAACCCAGCAGTTCAAATTACAACCGAAGTCCATTACAACAAAAAACCCAAAGGAGATACAAACTCAGCAGCCCACCAACAATGATCCAACCTAGCAAACTTGGATCCATACTCAACCCGACCCGGGATCTAAACTCGATCCAGATTCGACCCAGCACCCAGAGCAGACCCGAACCGACCCAGTGTAAACTAGGGTTTTTTGAAACCCTAAACCAAATCCAGTCACTACCGACTCTTCAACTCCCATAGCGCGTGAGCTTCACCGCTCTTCTCCCCGTGCGAGAGAGCTGGCCGCCGAGCCCCCAAGCCATAGCTGAGTGTTTCCTACACGATAAAAACAACTCAAAGTCAGAGCAAGTACAAAGCAATATGAAAAAAATCTTATGGCTCCTCGCCAGTGGATCCATCAGACATGCATCAATAAAAGAGAAGAGAAAGAGAAATCAAAGGGGGGTCATTCGGTGAAAGAGAAAAAAAAAGGAGGGAGAGAATCGAAACGAAAAAGAAAAAAGAAAGGAGAAGAAAATCAAAAGAAAACATAGAGAGCCAATCCCAAAACAACACAACAGAGAGAGAGAGAAAGGGAGGAGTAAACTTACCGAACACCGTGCTCGTCGGAGGTTCCAAGCAAGTACACCAAAAGGTCATCGTTTTCCGATTCTGTCGAGAGGTAATCCTATAGATCTAGAGGGTTTGAGTTAATTTTTAGGCTAAAAGAGGGTGGCTTTTGGATAGATGATGAGATGAGGAACATTTTAGAGCCTTTTGGCTTCCTCTGGCCGCCGTGTTCCGTCGTGAGCGCCGCCGTGGACCACTTCGAGTCCCTTGGGCGGAAGGCGACTCATTCTTTCTCGGTGTTGTGGAGTTGAGAGAGTTTGGGAGACTTTCTCTCTCCCATTTCTGAAGCAAAAGGAAAAATGAAGGGAGTTGGGGAGAAAGGGCCTCGGTTTGGGTTTAAATACCCAAACCAAAACAACGTCGTTTTGATCTTCCCCTCTCCGTGTTTTTTAGGCTTGGGGATAATAGCCCTTTTGGTCCCTCTGATTTTGTAACCTTATTTTTTCAGCTGTTTAATGAAGTTCAATTTATTTGATTTTGAGCATTTATATTTCAGCATTTACGTTTTAGTCATGTTCTTACTTATGTTGTTATTTCTGTTAATATTTGACTTTGGGCACAATATTTGTAATTATTTTAATTTAGTCATTTATTTAGTGTGGTATGTATTATTGCTATTATTTGAGTTTGGTTATGACATTTGCAAACATTTCATTTTAGTCATTGTTTTAGTTTATTGTGTATTTTTCTTTGATATTTGAATATGGCTATGATATTTGTAAATATTCTATTTAGTCACTATTTGACATGTGGTTTAATTGTGGTCTGGTCCTTTATGTTTATGCTTATTGGTATTATTTTATGGATTATTACATTTTTGATGCTTGTATTATTTAATATTTATGATTTGTTCTCTAGTTTATTTGAAATTACTATTTTAGTCCTTTTAGATTCTTTTTTACTATTTAGTCCCTTAAGTTTCTATTTTTTTTCTATTTTAGTCCTTTTACTTTCTGTCTTAGCTACTTTGGTCCTTTAAGTTTATGTTTTTCTCCATTTTAACCCTTGTAATTTCAAATACTTACTTTTTGCTCATTTGTATTTCGGTTTGTAATATTTATTTGTTTTCATTTCATTCCCTTATGTATGTACATGTTTCCCATATTATGTATTATTATGTATAACATTTAATAAATGTTATTAGTTTTATGTTGTAAATATTTTAGGTTTCATTTATTATTGTGTTTGTTTTTACCTTATTTCCTTATTTAGTGATATATTATTTGAA